GGCTTTTGTTCCCCTGAGTTGTTTCCGGTCACGCCAGTCTTCCTGCATGGCCCAGATGCACACCGGCTGGCTCCTTCCTTGAAACAAGTCATCTGTTAAATGGCTGGTTGTGCCCTCTGCTCCCCGAGGGCCGGCGTGGGTGGGATTGTCTGCCTGCTGGGAGCCCTGAGGGGTGTATTCTCGAGGCTCCTATTCCTACTGTCTTTCTCAGGTGGCTTCTTGCTCTTCTGCGCCATCTGGCACGTCTGCCAGAAGATTCCCCGTGCTCTTTCAACAGCACCCTCTACCTTGAAAGCATCAGTGCCAAGATGCATAGCTCTCCCACGCATCCGGCCCATGCTCTCTAGAGTGACGGGCCGCAGGAGCGCTGCAGGCTGTCTGTCATCTCTCTGGCGATCTGTCTGTCTGCCCACCCATCCGCCTACCCACCTATTATATCTGTCTGTCCACCACCTGTCTTTCTGTCTGTCCAGCCATCCATCTACTCACCTGTCCACTTACTCTTCTCTAACATCTCTCAGTGTTTTCTTAAGATTTATTTATTTGTGCATACAGAACTGGGGTACAGGCCAGAGGGGCAGGGGTGGTGAGAGGGTTCACCAGAGACAGAGCGGGGAGAGAACAGGCAGATGGACAAAGTCCACTGCTGAGGGGAGCAGCGGGCTGGTCAGGAGAGGTCTGCCGCGCCCTGTGGGTCAGTCCCTGGCGGGGGATCGAACTCGGGCTGCAATGGCTTCGGAGAGCTTCATGACGCGGAGCTTTAACCTGTGGTGCCATCAGGGAGAGCCCATCTCTCAGTGTTTTAATCCTTCCTGTCCATCCGTCCGTCTGTCCATCCGTCTAGCAGAAGCTGCCCCACGCAGCAAGCTGGGCCGCAGGGAGCCAGCGGTGTAAGTTCTAGTCGGAAAGCTTGAGGCCCCAGGGGAGCTGGTGTTTCAAGCCCAAGAGCAGGGAAATACCGACGCCCCAGTCCAGTCATGTCGGGGGTGGGGGGCTCCCACTTGGGGTTTGGATTCTCTCTGTTGACAGTTAGGCCTTTGACAGTTAGGCCATCCACGCTGGGGAGGGCCACCTGTTTCATCCACTGTTGACGCAGCTCTTCATTTTATCCCGAAGAACTCTCACAGTCACCCTCAGACAGCTGTCCAGACACGTGTGGCCCAGCCAAGTTGACTCACAAAATTACCCACCACGCCACAGTCAGCCGCTCCTGTGCTTCTCACCTGACCTGCCTGGTGGGTAGGAGCCGAGATAGCCGGTCGGGGTCAGCGGTGGGATGACAACGCCACACTGCAGCTCTTTGGTTACCTGGGGCCGACCGGCGCCTGCTCATCCTGGGGATGCTATTCCTTCTACTTAAGCCCCGGGACGGGGGGGCAGGTTTCAGGGTGTCTGAAGCTTATACCACTTGGGGGAGAGGTCCTGTTTTAGAAAGAGTGAACAGTGAGGCCGGCTTCATTGACTTTATGGACGGCCCACTTCATCAACTGCTTTTTCTTGAGGACGCCCAGGCCTGACCCCGGCCCCGACTCCGTGTGGCCAGGCGAGCGGCAGGGCAGCACACCTCCTCTCTGGCTCAGGCTCCCTGTGGCCCAGGAAACCTCTCCCCTTGTCTCACCCACTCCCTTCTTGCTGTCCTGTCTCTCCTGCAGGGGAGAGGTTAGTTTCCATCTCGCCAACTCATTCGCTTGAAAATCAGAGGGGCTCAGTGGTCTGGGGCCCTCACTGGTTTATGACACAGCACCCACAATTTGGTGGCTCTGTGTACACACTGGCGCCCACTTGTGCTTCAGAGGGGCCGAGGTCTGGTACAAGCCTCCGGAACGTGTTACCGTGCGGGTTCCTGGGCTGCGTGCTGGCTTTCCAGAATCTCTGTGGGCAGGATTCTCGGACCTGCATTTAACCCAGCTTGCCTGGGTCTGAGAGCGTCTGGGCTGTCCGGGTGCAGGCTCTGGTGGCATCTGCTGTCCCTCAGGGCACCTGACTGTCCTCTCGTAGTCTGTGCGCTTCTCCTGACGCACGTGGCGTTGGCTCTGGGGCTAATCCCTGAGGGCGCCAGACGCTTAACCACCTACCAGTCACCCCGAGTTTCTGTGGTCTGGACTTCCCATCTGGCACGTTACACCACCCTTTAGGAACAAACCCAAACAGCACAGTCACGTGGCGGGCTTCCAGCAGGATGCAGCTAGGCCGTCCCCCGAGAGGACCAGAGGAGCCGCCCACCTGCATGGTGTCCTGGCCTGTGGGGCCTCGCTTCTGGCTCTGTGGCCCTTGGAGAAACCTACCATCCCTTGAAGAATGAAGACCATCTGGATTTAGGGTCCCCTCCAGAAATACTTTTTTTTT